AGAAATGAAAGCGTTTTAATGAAAGGGTCTTCAGAAACCCTTTCTGAAGAAGAGTCTAGGCCTAAAACGTCAGCTTTCCTGCTCCTGTGCTGCTTGGCCTGCTGTGTTCATCCAGCTCTACACCTTGTTATCTCCAGGTTTCCATTGTCCTTTTTGATTCTTCAATAGTCTGGTTCAGCTTTTAAAGATCTGACCCTTAATGTGACCTCCCCCAGTAAAGTATATCATTTAAAAAAGACAAAGAACTGTGGATGCTGGTATATTGTTTCTGAGTTTCCCTTCAACATTTTGGAAATCTTGATTTAGATTATTTCAAACCTTTTTAATTCAAGGGACTACAGGTCAAGTTTATAAAATCTATCTTCTTAATTTAGCGTGCTGTCTCCAAAGGCTCATGTATCTGTTTTATTTGTGGTACCCAAACTGAACACACTGCTTCAGATGGAGTCTGACCAAAACTGGACAATTGAAACATTTCCTCCGTTGTATTCTGACTCCCATGAGTTAAAGGCTGTAATTCCATTAGCATTTTGAGCACTCGGGTGATTTTCCAAGCCATGGACTAGTTAAGTAGCTTGTGCACCTGGATGTTCAAATTCCTTTGCTCCTCAACAGCTCCTAGCCTCTCAACATTAAGAAAAAATGGTTTGTCTCTCTTGAACCTAAAGTAGCTGGCACTACATTGTACTTCATCTGCCCTAGCTTTGCATACGTTGCGTCCGTGTTCCTTTTGTAATGACTTACTCCTATCCACACAACTTGTTGAGCTCTGCAACTGTGTAGCTGCAAAGTGGTCTATTTGTTTGACCTTCATCAATACATATAAAAAGGTGAAACATTGCATGTTGTTTTTTGGCCATTAGATTATGGGTTTGCTTTAGCCATAAAATTCAATGATTCTGTTATAGCGTAGAAGGAGGACATTAGATCATTGCATTTGTTCTGGCCCATGTAAGGACAATGTGCTTAGTCATGTACCCCCTCCCTCCCTATATCCCTTCACATTCCTCCTCTTCAGATATTTAGAAAACAGAAAAGCTGACGATGCACAAGGAGGCCACTCTGCCCATCATGTCTGATTCTGACTAAAAACAAACACCCAATCTAATTTCATTTTCCAGCATTTGGTCTGTTTCCCCGGGAGCTTCAGGACTTCTGGTGTGTCCCAAGGCACCTTTTTTAATGAGTTGAGGGTTTGTGCCTCTAACACCGTTTCAGGCAGCGTTTGGAATCCCTCTCCCCTCTGAGTGAGAAAAAGCTTTCCTTGTCTCCCCTCTAATTCTTCAATCAGTCCCTTTTTAAATCTTTGCTCCATAGTCCCTGCTAAGGGAAATATGTCCTTCCCATCCACTCTATCCTACCTTGTGCACCCCAATCAAATCTCCCCTCAGCCACCTCTGTCCAAGGGGAACCATGCCAACCCATCCAATCTTTCCTCATCGCTGCAATTTTCCATCTTTAATCTGTGTGACCCTCAAACCAAATTTTAGTTCGTTAAAAGCTTGTGTCCAATGTCATAAGCTGTAATTTTCACAAATCTTTTACCTGGAACTTCTAATAAATGGCTTCTAGAAGTTTAGACAGAGAGCATCCGTGGATAACCACTCCTGCTCATCATGCTCATGACCTCAGTGATTGCACTGTATTAATCAAGGATGACCCCGCTTTTCATGTGTTCAAGCTCTTTGATTTAATGCTACCTTCTTGAAAACCAAGTCTGCAAAAGGGGGAGAATGGGGAGAGAATTTTTCCCATCTGGAGCAGGAGACCTGATGTGTCCTTGCTATGTCGCAGTATAAAGTTTGCAATTCGTAGTTCTGAGTTATCAGTTGTGGTATTGATCAGAATGTTTTTAAATTTTAAACTTGTAGAGCTTCCATATGGCTGGGAAAAGATCAGCGATCCAGTTTATGGCTTCTACTACATCGAGTAAGTTCCTCGTGAGTAAAGGTAAAATGAGATCTGTTTCGAGGGTTTATCCCAATATTTTTGGCACCAAATGTTCTGCTGGAGGTTTCCTCAGCTGTGGAGCTGTTGGTGCAATCGATGTGCTTACCCATGTGGGTCAATAAATTGCTGTTGGATTACGCCAGTTCAGTAATTCTCTTCAAACTCTCAAGTTTTAGATAGTTAATGTATTAGTCCTTTTGTGTTGTATTGACTGTATCAATGCGTTCCCAAGTGACAGACAGAAATGCCCCAGAAAAATCCATCCCTCGTCTTCTCCTTTTCCACTCCCAAATACACTCAGGATAGCAGAACAGTCATTTCCACGTAGCCTTCCCCATACCCTTTACTTTTACTCTGAAATAACCACCTTGAACCACTACTACGTGGTACATTCTGTTATTTTTTTCAGTCGATTTGGGAATAGATAGAGAACCTGGGAGTATGATACTGATTGGTTGCAACTTCATGTTGAACCTTTTAATCCCAATACAAGCCACCCAGGTAGCTGAGGCAATGACTTGGACAGGATTCCAGTAGTTGGATGGGACAGTGAGGGAGGAATGTGAGTGAACATGAATGAAGTTGCTCAAGTCAAGTTAACGTTTTGCAGTCTCGGTCTCACTCTCTTTATCCCCTGCCTTCTCTGCCCCCACTACCCTGCCCGCAAGCCCACTTCCTCCTTCCCTGCTCCCACTCCCCTTCTATCTGTGCATCTGTCTCTCTCCTCTCCTACTTCCCCCACCCCCCCCACCACCCTCAACACCACCTCTCACTCACTCAATGTCTCTCTCTTGTTTCTCTTCAGCCACATAAACCAGAGGACACAGTTCGAGAACCCAGTTGTTGAAGCAAAGCGAAAGAAGCAGTTAATTCTTCAGCGGGACAGTCAGCGAGGAGTGCATGGGGACCAGCGGCCAGGTACTGTAACTCACATTCAGAAACTGAGAACCTGCATTTCTGTGGTGTTTCATCACCTGAAGAAGTCCTAAAATACTTCATAATTAGTCAAGTACTTTTGAATTTCAGTCACTTGCTAAATACAGTCAATACCCAGGATTAGATTGATAAGTGGCAAATGAAACACAGGCCGCGTAACTGCCCGGCATTGACCATCTCCAACAAGAGAGAACATAAGTATCACCCCTTGACATTCAGTGATATTATCATCTCTGAATACTCCACTATCAACATCCTGTGGGTTACCATTGACCAGAAACTGATCAGCTATCTAAATGCTGTGGCTACAAGAGCAAGTCAGAGACTGGGAATTCTGTGGTGAGTAACTCACCATCTGTTTTCTCGGGCTTGAACGGTCTACAAGGCACAAGTCGGGTGTAACATTTTGCTGCATAGCCACTGGGAAGCTCCTGGATGCTGAAAGTTCCGATTCTGAGTGTGGTTCCACTTCTGGTAGCTCCTGCTATTCACAGATCTCAGAGGTCCACAAAATGGCGAAGAGACATAGAGGGAGAGTTGGCAGGAATGTGATAGAATATTCTCCACTTGCCTGGAAGAGTGTAGCTTCTTCAACACTTAAGAAGCTCACCATCATCCAGGAAAAGGTTGCCCTATTGACCAGTACCCCCTTCACCACCTTTACCACCTTCACCATTCATGCTGTTCACTGCTAATGCACAGCAGCAACAGTGTATACTGTCCACAAGATGCACTACAGCAGCTCATCCAGGCTCCTCCAACTGCCTTTTCCAAATGTGTGACCTGTACCACCCAAGGGCAGAAGGAGCAGATGTAAATGAACAGCACCTTCAAGTTCCTCTGCAAATCTGAGGCCGTCCTGACCTGATTGGTACCACCAATCCTTCACTGTCGCTGAGTCAAAATCCTGAAAGTCCCACCTTAAAAGCACTGTAGGTATCCTTATACCCCAGGGACTGCAGTGGTTCAAGCAGATGGCTCATCACCTTCTCCGGCCATTTGGAACGAGCAAATAACTGGTCTAGTCATTGAGCTCCAAATCACATGAATGAATATATGAAAAAAATCATTCTTGCAATAAAGGAAATGCAGCAGGTAGTTTTAATTTGCATACAAGCTCCCACAAGGCACAGTAAGATAAATGACCAAGGTTTGTTTGTTCATCAAGATACCCAGAAGAATTTCAGAGTTCAGAATGTTTGTTGGTACCTGGCCAATATTTATCCTTCAGCTAATTTTAACGGTCATTTTTATTTATTCATAAGATTTTTCTCTAGTGGGATTTGAACTTTTCACCTCAGGACTGCCATATTTCCAGCGCCAGAACCAATTCACAACCACGCTCTGAATCGGAACTTTTTAGAGCGAGTGTTGTTTAAAGCTATTACACTTGCAATAAACAAAAGTTAAACACCAACTTAGTGCTGATGCTAAACCGATAAGCTTGCTTTCCTCTGAACTGAAAATTTACAAAAGGGACACATACTCATTCAGCTAATCTCTTTCGTATTTCTGTCCTGCTTTTCCAAATGTATTTCTTAGAATGGACCTGTTCCTATGGGAAATGCAGTGTAATCCCACAATTCTTTCTCCCTTTCCATTTCAATTTATAAATGCCTGCTTTTAGGTTTTTGCCGACTGCAGACATTGAGTAGTGACACCCCATTCCTGATTTGTGTATTGTGTAACTTTGCCTTTTTTTTTACAACTCAAAGCACTTTCTGCACAAACCAAAACTGCAATCAGGAAGATAGTTACATAAGATATCAGGTCTATTGTGGTTTTGTAAACACTGGGGGCCTTGTGCTGAATCGGGTGTTTCAGGCAGAACAAATGAGAATACTGGCAAATATTTTGCTTTGTTAACCACTTACCTGCTGATCCAGGAAGCTACCTCCCTGAGCTGCACTTGTCTCTCCTTCCATTCTCCCCACTCCATGCTATTGTAACTCTGCTGGCCCTATACTGGATACGATCATATGTAAAAATTAACCTTTTGAAGTTTAGCTCAGGAGCAGGCGGTTCAGCTCTTCTCTAACCTAATTCATTCAATTAGAATGTGATCTGTACCTTGGCTCTAGCCTTTCCCCTTGCCTGACAAATTTATCCGTCACTTTGGAAGCAAAAAGAAAAAGGCAGATTACTACCTGAATGGCTGTAAATTGGGAGAGGGGAGTGTGCACTGGGACCTGGGTGTCCTTGTGCACCAGTCGCTGAAGGTAAGCAGGTGGTAAAGAGGGCAAATGGTATGTTGGCCTTTATTGAGAGAGGTTTTGAGTACAGGAGCAGGGATGTGTTGTTACAGTTATACAGGGCCTTAGTGAGGCCTCACCTGGAATTTTGAGTTCAGTTTTGGTCTCTTTTCTGAGGAAAGATGCTGTTGTCCTTGAGGGAGTGCAGCAAAAGTTTACCAGGCCAATTCTGGAGAAGGTGAGACTGATGTATGAAGAGAGATTGACTAAGTTGGAGATGGTAGGAACTGTTGATGCTGGAGTCTGAGATAACCAAGGTGTAGAGCTGGATGAACACAGCAGGCCAGGCAGCATCAGAGGAGCAGGAAAGCTGACGTTTCGGGTCTGGACCCTTCAGGGGTCACTTTGACTAGGTTGGGATTATTTTCGCTGGAGTTCAGACAAATGAGGGGGGATCTCCTCAACTTATTTTATAAGAACTAGACAGGGTAGATGCAGGGAGGATGTTCCTGATTGGTGGTTGTGTCCAGAACCAGGGGTCACAGTCTGACGATTCAGGGTATTTCCTTTAGGACAGAGATGAGGAGACATTTCTTCACCCAAAGAGTGGTGAACCTATGGAATTCATTTGCACAAGGAAGTAGTTGATGCCAAAACATTGAATGTTATTAAGAGGTGGCTAGTTATAACACTTGAGGCAAATGGCATCAAAGATTATGGGGAGAAAGTAGGATTGTACTATTGAGTTGGACAATCAGCCATGATTGTGATGAATGATGGATTAGCCTTGAAGGGCCGAATGGCGGCCTCCTACTCCTATCTTCTATGTTTCTAATTTATCCTTTATGTCCACAATTTTGGAAGAGAGATTGACTAGGTTGGAGATGGTAGGAACTGTTGATGCTGGAGTCTGAGATAACCTGGTGTAGAGCTGGATGAACACAGCAGGCCAGGCAGCATCAGAGGAGCAGGAAAGCTGACGTTTCGGGTCGGGACCCTTCAGGGGTCACTCTGACTAGGTTGGGATTATTTTCGCTGGAGTTCAGACAAATGAGGGGGGATCATTATCAAATTCCTTATGCCATGTGAAAGAGTGATTTCTGGTTTTACACTCGAACAGTCTGCCTCTACTTTTACAGTTATGCAACTCTTTCCAGACTCCAAAAGAACAGGAAGTAGTTACACTCTATCTATCCTCTCTTATCCTCTAAGGGTTTTACAAGCCTTGTTTTGATCACATTTGCCCAAACCTGTAGAAGTACAAATCGATGTTAACAACTTTGTGTCTTTGACAGATGAATTTGGATTTGAATCATTGGTCAAGTCACCATATTTCAAATCTCTTTCTTTCTTCTCCCCAATCCACTCCTTCCATTACAGAGAGGCCAATGTTTACTCGGGACCCCTCACATCTTCAAGGAATGCTCATCAGGACCACTCTGCAGAAGAGCACCATGGGATTTGGTTTCACAATAATCGGAGGGGATAGCCCAGATGAGTTCCTACAGGTGAAGAATGTGATTCAGGATGGACCTGCAGCTCAGGATGGCAACATGATGGCAGGCAAGTGACATGTTTCCTCTGAAAAGCTGGTGGGCACTTCTGGACACTCCCAGAACTTTCCCTTCCCCACCATCTCCCTATACACAGCATATTGGGGGAGGGAGCAGATTCTGGGATGAGTGGCACTGGCAATAACCAACAGGTCTGACCCATCCACAGAGAGAGACAGTTAATGTTTTTGAGTCCAGCTGAAGAGTCATATTGGACTCAATGTTAACTCTCTTCCTGTCTCAACAGGTGTTACCAAATCTACTGAGTTTCAGCATCTTCTGTTTGTTTCCAATTCCCAGCATCTGCAGTATTTTGCTTTTATTTGTGGAGAATAATCAATCCTAGGGGAGGGGAGTTTTGGAGAGTAATAGTAAGGTATTGGGACTGGAGCTTCCCTGAGAGATACCAAGATTGGGGTAGGGCAATGCTTGGAATAGTGATGCCAGTGATTCGGTAGATGCCGGGAGCATGCATTTTATTTATTCTCAGCTGGTTTCTGTGTTTATTAAATCAGTTTGATATTTAATTTTGAGCAGATAAAGATTTGGCATTGTACGCATCCATGGCAAGTTTAAAGTTGGGTGAGTGTGCCTTTGGTCATGGACTCAAATGGTTAATGTGTATGCTGTGCAATCTTATCTGCAGGTGATGTAATAGTGTATGTGAACAGCACCTGCGTCCTTGGACAGACTCATGCTGATGTTGTGCAGCTTTTCCAGTCCGTTCCCATCAACCAGACAGTGAAGCTGATCCTGTGCCGTGGTTATCCACTTCCCACAGACCCCCAGGTGCCAGCTGTCGATGTAGTGACTGCCACTCCTGTTGTGGATGGATTGCCTGTGGTGGGGAAGCAAGCCTCGACTGGGCAGAGTGTGCAGACCCCACCAGGGCCCACTGAGCAGAATGGGAACGAGGGTCCTGGTGGTGGTGTCGAGCGTTTAAATGGACCTTACTTGGGCCTGACTGAGGACAGGTCCTCAATGACCTCGTCAGCTGGTTCGCAGCCAGAGGTGCTGACAGTCCCTCTGCTGAAGGGGCCAAAGGGTTTTGGCTTTGCCATAGCAGACTGTCCAGCTGGACAGAAGGTGAAGATGATCCTGGACAGTCAATGGTGCAAAGGACTACAGAAAGGTGATGTTATCAAGGAGATCAACCACCAGAGCATGCAGCAACTGAGCCACGCCCAGGTGGTGGAGATACTGAAAGATTGTCCTGTGGGAAGTGAAATATCGCTGCTGGTGCAGAGGGGAGGTTTGTCCTCATGTTGTTATCTTTTAATTGCCTTTAGCTCACTTGGTTTCATTGCACACTTGTCTAGATGTTGCAGAGTAAAGAAGGGGCCAGTAGAGAGAGAATGCAGTAAAATGCTGAAACCAGAACCGAGTGGAGACGGATTATAACTACCAGAAAAGACTGAACAAGCTGGGACTCTCTTCTCTCTAAAGGCGAGCTGAGGGTTGACTTACTGCAGGTCTTTAAGGTTGTGAAAGAGTTTGATAGCCTACATGTGAGGATGATGTTTCCACTGAGTCAAGATCAGTACTATTGACCATATGTATGTGTAATCAATCCAATACGACATTCAAGAAAAACCTCTTGTCCATAGTGTGGAACTATGGGGAATACTTAAGGTCGTTTGTATGGATGCTTGATAGACACATGAGAACGGAACAAAACTGTTTGGGTTAATTAAGGGTGGGAGCAGACATTAACAGTGCCAGTGTGTGACCAGGAAGGCGGTTCTGTATTGTAAATTCTACGCATTTTCTCTGGGCTCTGATTGCAGCCCACGACTTCTCCTTTACGATTATATTGTGAATATGGCCTCTTCAACCAGCACTTGTGCCCAAAAGAGTGTGTGTCTTGGAGACCAGTGAGAAATAACATTGAGAGAAATTCTGTTGACTGTGTAGGAAGAGTGGAGCTGAGTTAGAATACAGTTAGTGTTCTAGAATCCATTGTTGCCCTTCTAATGCTAAACTATACATTGATCCATTTTTATAAAACACCTACAGTAGTGTTGATGAAAGCTGTGATGTATAGTCTTGGATTCAATTTGTAGAGTAGATTGTGATTTCAGAGGGTTATTTCCTAGTGATCTTTCTCTTTCATGTATTGTAATGAATTTTCTTTTTTAACAGGTCCTTCTTCACCTGCTAAAACTATGAAAACAGTAAGTTTCATAATTTTTTTTGCTAACAATGGGACTTGGTGTTCAGGTGTGTTCCTTCCAGTTGGAGTTAACTAGTGTTATTGGTGCAGTTAATAGCCTATAGATGCACAAGATTCCACAACTAACCAAAACCATTCTAGATTGCAAATTAAAAATGTTAGCTGAGTGTGTGTACTTGAGTGAAGTGCTGTCCACAGTTCTTGTCTCGAGTCTGAAGATTGTGTTGAAGCCTCATTGTCGAAATTTTATACAAAATACAAACCAAGAATTGGGCTAGAATCCACAATGTGAAATGATGAAAGAGCGAATTTAGGATTACTCTTGGGCAGTTTCTCCTAAGGTGGCGTGACCAAGTCAGTCTGAATTTGGGTAGCTAGGTGGAGGCAGAAATCATGGAATTATTTCATTAACAGTCGCAACACTTTATCTTTCTGAATATGTTAGATTATTTGTCTTTGGCATGTGTTATATGCGATTTCAACTGTATTTTTACTAGATTTCAAACCCACATTCTCAAGATAACAATTGGAATGCTTTTGGCTGACAATAAACTAAAAACATAGATTTGTGTGAAAGCAAGGACTCTAGTTTCTGGAATGGTGAAAAGAAAAAAAAATGAAAATTCTAGAAAGCACCTGCATCTGTGGAGGGAGCAAGAGTTGTGTTGCTGGTCAATGACCTATTGTCAGAACTGGGAAAATGTTATTTGTTCGTCTTGACTGTCTTTAAACAAACACTGTGGAGGAGGAAGTTCTGTACTATCATGGAAAGCGATAGTTATTATCGAAGGGATTCTGGTGAAAGGCACAATCATGTTGGTAATAGGACAGTAACAAAATATGGGTCCAGAGCTATAAATGTCACTGCGGAATATTAGAGGGTGAGGGCGGAAAAGCAGTCGTGTGGACTTGGAATGTGACAGTTTGGGTCAGTAACTATAGGTCTGTACTCAGTCATTCCAGAAATATCTAATGGGGTGATGAGAAAAATGTTTTATTTGGAAACAAGATGGATTGCAGGAGTAGATCACATGGCCCATTGTACCTGCTCTTCTGCTCAATGAGGTTGGCTCATCTTGGGCTTCAATTTTACTTTTCTACTCGCTTCCCAACTCCCTTGATTCCCGAGAAACCAAATGTCTGTCTGTGCCTCCCTTAAATGTATTCAGTGGTGAAGACTCCACAACCCTACTGACATGGAGAATTCCAAAGATTTACAATCTTTTGGGTGAATAAATTGCTCCTCATCCAAATCCTAAAAGATTTTTCCCTTACCCTTAACCTATGACCCCTTGATTCTGGAGACCCCCCACTATCGGGAACATCCTCTTTGCGTCTAACCTGTCTAGCCCTGTTGGAAATTTGTAGGGTTTTATGAAATCCCCCCCCTCATTCATCTGAATTCCTGTGAGTATAATTCTAATCAACTCCGTCTCTCCTCATATGTCAATCCGGCCATCCTGGGAATCAATTTGGTAAACCTTCGCAGCACTCCCTCTGTGGCAAGAACATCCATCTTCAGATAGGAAGACCAAAGCTGTGCACAATATTCCAGGTGTGGCCTCAGCAATGTCCTGTATAATTGGAGCAAGACATCCTTGTTCTTATACTTGAATCCTCTCGCTAGGAAGGCCAGCACAGTCTGCTGCCTTTACTGGCGGCTGCACCTGCTTACTTCAGAGACTGATGCATGAGGACACCCTTTTCTCATTGACCAATCTCTTCTCCGTTTACAGCCATTCACATAATAATCTGCCTTCCTGTTTTTGCTACCAAAGTGGATAACCTCACATTTGTTCACACTACAGCATCTCTGCATCTGCCTCACAGCTCACCCTTCCTTCCAACTTTGTATCATTTGCACATTTTAAGATATTACATTTGGTTCCTTCATCTAAATCATTAACACACATTGAGAGTAGATGGGGTCCTAGTACTGATCCCTGCAGTACCCTGCTAATCACTGCCTACCATTCAGAAAAAGACATTTATTCCTAATCTGTTTCCTGTCTGCTAACCAATTTTATATCCATCTCAATACACCACCCTTAATCCCATGCGCCATAGTTTTACACACTAATCTCTTATGTGGAACTTCATCGAAAGCTTTCTGAAAGTTCAAATAAAATGCATCCGCTGGCTCCCCAGATCAATTTCACTAAGTACATCTTGAAAGAATTCCAATAGATTTGTCAGCATGTTCTATATAACTCTATATGACTCTGATTTCCCTTTTGTCAGCCATGCTGACTTGTCTGATCCTACCACTATTTTCCTCGTGCTCTGCTGTAAAATCCTTGATAATGGACTCCTGAATCTTCCTCACTACCAATATCAGACTCACTGTTTTCTGACTGCCTCCCTTTTTAAATAATGGTGTTACGTTGGCTCTCCTTCAGCCTGTAGAAACTGTTCCAGTATCGAAAGAATCTTGAACGATGACCACCAATGTATCCTGTATTTCAAGGGTTACTTCCTTAAGTACTCTGGGATGTAGATTATCAGGCCCTTTTAATCCCAACAGTTTCTTCAACACCATTTCTCTCCTAATACAGATTTGCTTCAGTTCCACCCTCTCTCTAAACCTTGTGTTCCCTATCAGTTCTAGTATGCTATCCGTCTTCTTTTGTGAAGACAGAAGTGATTATATGAATGTTTGATTTTGGCCTTTGGTTTCTCTGCCTATCACCTCTTATTTCCCCCTTCTGTCTTTTGGTCTTATCCTTGATTCCCTATCCCCTGACTCCTTGCATAAGTTTCCATCTCCCCTGCCAATTTAGTTTAAACCCTCCCCCACCACTCTAGCAAATAGCCATACAGGACATCTGACCCATTATAACCCATCTTGTCCAATCACTTAATTTGTCAATATCTGTTTGCAACTTCTTTATGTCCTCCCTTCAGCTTACCTTTCCAGCTAGTCTTGTATCATCAGCAAACTTAGGTTAATCTCTCTTTTCTAGAACTTTCATCTGGAAAAAGTACTGGGAACTGATTCTAGAGACTGGAGTTGAGTAGAAGATTGAGACTTTCGCAGTATCACCACTAACAGGCCAGGCTTGTGGGATGAGGCATTGACTGCTCTTTGAAGAGAGGCTAAATAATTTACATCTGTACTATAACATTGTGAAATATGGGAAGATCCTTTTGACATGGCCTTACATAACTACTCCGCATTATTTCTATCTGTATATCTTGCCTCTATATTGTAAAATTTATTTAAAACATTTTCTTTTCTCCTGATTTTTCTTTCCAGACTTTAGAGCAGGAGGACAACCAAGCAAGCTCTCAGAATCTGTCCCCAGGCGTTCCCATCCCTCAGCCAATGCCCTTCCCACCCAATGCTGTAAGGCCTTCGTCACCCAAGCGTGACCCAACTGAAGTGTATGTGCAATCCAAGACCATGTTCGACAGCAAACGTAAGTGATGTGGAGTGCAGGCCCACTGTTCTTGGTAGGAAATGGTGGTTTTGGAAAACCTTTATTGCTAACTATCAGTAGTGTAGTAATCTGATTGAAAACTATCACCTGGGAGACTGATGGGATCTTGTCCTATTCAGTAGTTGTAAACTTGATCTGGTGAAACAGTTTGAAGAGGAGGGATGTCTATGTTGGCTCACGTTGAGAAGCAGTAAGGTCAAATCAAATAATTGAACACTGGAACTGAAAAAGAATTATGCAGGTGTGTGCAGGTTAGTTGTTAGCATGTGACTTGGAAATATATCACCGCTCCTTCAGTGTCGCTGCATCAAAAACCTGGAATTCCCTCCCTAAGGGCATTGAGGGTCTACTTACGGCACATGGACTGCAGTGGTTCAAGAAGGCAGCTCCCCGCCACCTTCACAAGGGCAGTAGGGACTGGTAATAAATGCTGGCCCAGCCAGCGACTCCCATGTCCCTTGAGTGAATAAAACAATTTAAGTTCAGTTTCCTGGGCTTTGACCTTAACCTGGTGGTTACTGGTGCAGGACCTGAGTTATTAGGTTACTATGCGCAGTGAACTGGAAAATGCTGTGTCGAAATAGGTCACTGGATGGCCTGTCTGATTCATCTTGATTTGTTTTGATCATGAGATGATCTTCCAGCAGCTCTCATTTTACTTTGCTTCCTTGATGCAAAATTTATTCAGTCCTTGTACCACACAGAGTCCAGGAACATTCCAGCTTTCACTCCAAGACAATGCTGAGCTCTCCCATCAAGCAGAGCTCTAGCGGTTTGCTGCAGTTGAGCCAGATGGCCATCAGTTTGAAGAGGAGTGATCTAATCCTGGTCCCAATTCATTGACTGATGATAGTACCGAACAAAACATGCTGACACTGCCATCCAGGATCACTATTTAGACAACTAATGTGTCCATTTGGAGGGTCAGGAGAAAAGTGAAGGAAATAAAAACAGAAAACAGCGATCATTCTGAGTTAATCAGCAAACAGTCCCATTTATTGATTCCCTCTCCAAACCCAATTAAGTTTTAAATGGGCAGTGCTCTCTCTGTTTGTAAGTTAGTCCTCAGGGAGTTGACCATGCTTCACAGACCACTGCCTGGTCATCCTGTGAGCTGAGGACTGAGCAAGTTTGCAACTAAAGCAGAGCACAGTTTGACAGATCAGTCTCTTTTCTGCTGGAGCAGCCTGTGGGTTCAGAGTCAGCTGTGAATCCAGGCTATAGGTACAGCGCTGTCTGTTGTTCTGCAACATATCTTGGAAAGTGGATTCTAGGAACAAAAATAATTTCTGCGCCAGTCATTGCTATGTAAATATTCATTGTTTTGCACAGGCCCTGGGCTAGCCACTGCATCACTGTGACTCTCTTCCCTGTTTATTGTCCTTCAGCCCCAAATACAAAAGACGTTGACATCTTTCTGCGTAAGCTGGAGAGTGGGTTCGGATTCAGAGTGCTGGGTGGAGATGGGCCAGATACACCTGTAAGTTTCCTGTAACTCTTGAGTGTTTGCTGTTGATTTCATGCTGCTTTCAGTGCAGATTCTTGTTAGTAGTGAGTGACGACAGAGTGAGGGAGGTGGCAAAGTTGCACGTGAGCTTGGACACTTTATTTTCACTGAGTTGACAGCACTTGTGGAAAGAAATATAAAGTGCAGCCATGCTTTAGTGGGGTGTGTGTGTGAGTGAGATTCAGAAGGACGTAAGAAATCCAAGCAGAAGCAGACATATGGCCCATCGAGTCCGCACTCCCATTCAATATGATCATGACTGACCTTGGACTTCACCTCTACTTTTCTGCCATCTCTCCATATCCCTTGATTTGCTGAGAGTCTAAAGGACAGTCTTTCTCAGCCATAGGTATGTTCAGTGATGATGCCACAGCTGAGTTGGAGAATGCCAAAGATTTCCAACTCTTATTTAACTGGAGAGCGACTGCAAAAATGGTGCAACAGAGCGGTCTGGGTGTTCTTGTGCATGAAACGCTAAAAGTTAGCATGCATATGCAGCTCATAACTAAGAAGGCAAATTGAATTCTGGCCTTTATTGCTAGAGGGTTTTGTTTAAAAATAGGCAAGTCTTATTGTAACCGTTCAGGCTGTTTGAAGAGGCCATATCTGGTCTAATGTGTACAGTTTTGAATCTCCTATTTAAGAAAGGGTACTTTAGAAAAGGTTCACTAGGCTGATTCCTGGGATGAAGAGGTTGACTAATCGTGGTTTGCCAAACAGGTTGTGTCTTTATTCAATAGAGTTTAGTAGAATGAGGGATGATCTTTTTGAAATATACAAAATTCTGAGGGGGCTTGACGGGGTAGATGTTAAGATATTCCGTCACAAGTGGAAACCTCAAGCTAGAGGACATAGTTCAGAACAAGGAAATTTCATCTTTGAAGCAAGTAAATATCTGGAAGACTCAAACCCAGGGAATTATGGAGGCTAGATCATGGAAAGTATTTAGAGAGATGTTCAAATTTTGAAATAGAGGAATCAAGAGCTGTGAGGAGCTAGCACAAAAGAGGAGTTGAGGTTGGGACAAGGCTGGGTTGAGGAAATGAATGGCCTACTACTCCTATTTCTAATCTTCTTTTGAAGAAGTTTGTCTTCACCTCAGTCCAAAACGATCATCCCATTATCCTGAGATGTGGCCACTCATTTCCTCACTATCCAGACCCTGGGGGTCACCATTGATCAGAAACTCAGCTGGACTCACTAATTAAATACAGTGGCTACAAGAGCAGATCAGAGGCTAGGAATACTGCAGTGAGTAACACGCCTTCTGATTCCCCAAAGTTGGTCCATCGTTTGCAAGGCACAAGTCAGGAGCGTGATGGAATACTCCCCACTTTTCTGGATGGGTGCAATTCCAAACAACACTCCAGAAGCTTGACACCATCCAGGACAAAGCAGCCCGCTTGACTGGCACCACATCCCCAAGCATCCACTCCCTCCATCGCTGATGCTCAGTGCACACTGCTGCTACTATCTACAAGATTCACTGCAGAAATTCACCAAAGATCCTTAGTATCTTCCAAACCCTATCTAGAAAGAGAAGGGTAACATTTCTTGGGAACACCACCACCTGCAAGGTCCCATCTAAGCCACTTACCATCCTGACCTGGAAATATATTGCCGTTCCTTCACTGTCACTGAGTCAAAATCCTGCAATTCCCTCCCTAAGGCCATCGTGGGTCTAGCTACAGCACATGTACTGCAGTGGTTCAAGAAGGCAGCTCGCTGCCTCCACCTTCTCAAAGGCAAATAGGCAAAAATGCTGGTTCAGCCTGCGATTCCCATCTCCCACACGTGAATAAATGAAAAGATATCATGTGGCAAGCCGTCTTTATTCTTGAACTCCAGTTCTCTTGTATTAAACATCAACATGCTATTTGCCTTCCTAGTAGAAGTGCCTGTTAATGGCTGACTCCAGCTCCAAGGTGTCAGCTCATACAGGGTGCTGAAAGTCTGACAGCCTTTTTCCCCAAAAGTTTATGGATATGGGAGGGGGGTGGGGGTCAGTTAAAAATCTCAAAATTGAGACTGATGGATTTTTTGTTGGGGCAGGGGTTATTATCAATAAGGAACTGCGAGGTGTACCTGAAGTTAAGATACAGTCTGGCCATCTACCTGAATGAGAGAGCAAGCTGGAGGGCCGCTGTTCCTGTGTGTTAGCGAATGGCATAGCCAATCAGTTACTGCCTAAGTCGCTTGTTATGTAACCGGTAAGTTGGTTCATTCAGTGACAAATTCTACACAGTAAGGATTGTGTGATTTAAGTGAGAGTGAGATTGACACAAGGGAATAAGGACCTGAAGTAGTGCGTGACTGCTGTTGTTGTAATGAGCTTTCTCGGTTAATGTGTTAGAATCTCTCAACAGATGCTGCAGTCTGTTTACACCTTGCCTGTTGAATAATAAACATCCGTCACTAAGGTTAGAGCCTGAGCTAACACAACCATTCTCTCTCTCTCCTGCCCCACCCTCACCACCACCACTTCAGGTTCTGATTGGAGCAATAATCCCCCTGGGGGCAGCGGAACGCGACGGCCGTCTTCGTGTAGCTGATGAGCTGCTTTGTGTCGATGGCGTCTCGGTCAAGGGGAGATCTCATCGCTTCGTGTTGGACTTGATGCAAAATGCGACTCGAAACGGCCAGGTGCTGCTATCAGTGAGGAGGAAGGTGCTGCCCTCTGGTGAGTGTGTTGGTTCGCACTTTTGGTCCTCAGTTGGTGTGAATGTGGCCAGGACCTGTTCAAAACCCTTTGTTCCCAGGAGTTGTTATTAAATTCATTCGTGGGATGAGGGCATTGCTGGCTGCCCAGCATTTAGTGCCCATCCCTAATTGCCCAGAGGGCAGTTGAGTTGCACCTGTTGTCCCGGGTCTGGAGTCACAAGTAGGCCAGATGCAGCAAGAATGTCAGTTTTCTTCTCTAAAGGATATTAGCGAACTAGATGGGTATTTTTCTGATGACTGACAATGGATTCATGGTCATGATTAGATTCTTAATTCCAGGTTCATATTGAATTCAAATTCCACCATTTGCTGCTGTGGGATTTGAACTTGGGTTCCCAGAAAATTGCTTGGATCTCTGGATTAATAATCCAGCGATTGTGCTAATAGGCTGTTGCCTGCCATGGAGAAGTGACCCTTTTCTGAGGGTCAACTTGAGACTTTCGTTCGACAGAATGAGTCTGTCCAACTAACTTTGTGATGTGAGTCCCACATAATTAGTTGTTGAAAGCTCAAAGGGTTTGAATCATGGGTTTGCGCAGCTCAGGATCTGCCTGAAGGAGAGGTGCGCCAAGTCCCACTCCCCCGTGCTTTCACTATGCTGCTGTAAATTGATAGAATCATTATGGTCACCGACCATTTCCTTGCGATTGCTGGCTCAAAATTCTAAAATCTGGTTCCCCTTCTCACTTTAGGATGAGACTCATTGCTGTTTGCAGGCAGTTAAGAGTGGGGTATTAAAGGAGGCAGATAAACATTTTTGAAAAGGGGTTGGATAATTAGCTGAAGGGGAAATGATTGCTGGACTTTGGAGGAAAGAGCAGAGGAGAGAGTCTAAAGAACTAGTACAGCCCTACTCTGTATGCTTCAACAAAATGTTTATTAGTGATGTCTGTATCCTGAGATTGAACAGTCAACATAAAAGGCTTTTCAGCTGTGAGTGAGCTGACCATGTTGGTCAGATGCAGACTGCATTGTAGTAGCCCAGAGCCAAGGAAGCTTTCGCCTTTGTCTCAAACTCCTTATGATGGGGCCAGCTTCTCAGTAACTCTCCTATTTTTGTGTGACAGAGGACCAGCGTGACTCCGGTCGGGATGAGAATTCTGAAGCTGCAGAGAATGGTCCCTGTGGGATAAATCTCACGGATCTTGTGAACAAACCTCTGCAGGGTCACACCCCAGCCGAGTCCCCACAATCCTATGACATTGTCCTACAGCGGAAGGAGACGGAGGGTTTTGGCTTTGTCATCATCACCTCGAAGAACAGACACCCCACCATGGGTGAGTAAAATGGTGGTTGCTAAGGGAGACAGGCAGTCAGGATGATGCAGGCCTAGACAGATCCGTTCAGTACAAAATAACATCAGTTCTTTGGGCTTTGCAGCTCACTGGGCTAGGGGTCCCCCACACAGTCTGTCTGTCTGGAGTATGGATCCCATACACGCTGTCCTACAGATTGTCTCACTGGGCTGTGGGTTCCACAGACACTGGCAGCCCCAGGGGGCTGTGGACTCCACTGCAGTGACTGCTAGTCTAATGTCATTCTTTCACAATTGAAACTATTCTCTCGTTGGCTATTTGGGCATGTAGGTATTACAGTGAAAACCCAACCTGTCCAGCAGGTGTCAGTGGCAGGTTATCCGGTGTAGGAACCTAACTGATCTGTATGGTTCATTGTTCCCCACACAACCTCATCTACATCTAAGGAGGTAGTTGCAGGTTAGTTAAGTCGCTGTAGGAGCAAATTACGGCAGATGCTGGAATCTGCACTGAAAGCAGCAAATGGCTGTTGGGTTGTGTAATAGTTGATGAAACAGTTGTCCAGTCACTTCCTGCATAAAGATTCCAACAACACAGCAGTGATTAATTGAAAAGTCCTCTTCATGGTCATACATTTTGAACATCTGAATTCAGAGCACAGTAGAGCATTCAGTCCCTTTAACTTGTTCCGCGATTCAATAAGATGATGCCTTATCTGTTTGTGTTCAGGATTCCCATCTATTTCTAATGTTCTTAATTGTTGGGAAGGAAATCAGTTTACTTACACCTCTAAAATATTCAATGACCCGCCTCTTCTACCGCTGAAGTCAACTGTTCCAAAGTTGCACAGACCTCCTAAGAAAACATTCTGCTGATCTGTCTTGAAAGTATGATCCCTAATTTTAACACACTGTCCCCTAGTTTTGAGCTGACCCACAAGAAGAAACATCCTTTCTACACACACCTTGTCAAGACCATTCAATATCTGCAACTCCTGCTCTGTCCCCATCCTTGTAAAATTGTTTTATTCCCACCCCCCCACCCCCCACCCCCCACCAACTGCACCTCAGGTTTTACTACCCCCACGTTTGTGTGGGGAGTGACAAGGAACCAGAAACTCACCACTGCATCTCCCTACTTGGAGGACATTTGGGGCATAGCAAGCAAGTCCCCAGGCCATCGAATTAACAAAATTCTTCAAAGAGGAAAGATGCCCACAATCTGCAGATATATTTGCCATGAATGAAGGTAAAAATACTGAACTAGTTCTTGACTAAACACACAGAGCAAAGAAACAACAGCCTTGGAGTCAACAACAAAAACAGAAATTGCTGGAAAAGCTCAGCAGGTCTGGCAGCATCTGTGGAGACGGAAAGAGAGTTAACATTTTGGTTCCAGTGACCATTCAGAACTGATGGTAGCTTGGAAAATGTTGGTTTTTATGCAGGAGATAGGGTTGGGGGTGCGGGTAAGGAGTAAACGATAGGTGGAGTCCAAGGAGAGAGAATGACAGTTGGACAGACAAAGGGGTGGATTTCAATAGGGCTAGCAGGATGAATGGCTAATGGGGACTGTTAGTGGCTAACAATGGGTAGTGTGTAAAAGCAGACCATGTGATAACAAGGCCTGGTGTGTGGGTATTGGGGTCAGGACATGGGAGAAGGTGCCTCAAGCTCGAATATTGTTGAACCTGACATTGAGTCCAGAAGGCTGTAGAGTTCCTGAGCAGAAAACAAGGTGCTGTTCTTGCAGTTTGCACTGAGCTTCGCTGGAACACTGCAGCAAGCCTGAGACCGAGATCTTGGCCAGGGAACAAGGTGTGTTGAAGTGGCGGGCAACTGGAAGCTCAGGGTCTTTTTTGCAGACAGAATGTAGGTGTTCTGCAAAGTGGCCACTCAGTCTGCATTTTGTTTCCCAAATGTAGAGAAGAGCACGTTGTGAGCAGCGAATGCAGTAGACTAGATTGTGGAAAGTGCAAGTAAAGCACTGCTTCGTATTGAAGATGCGTTTGGACACTTGTATATTGAGGAGAGAGGAAGTAAATGGACAGGTGTTACAGCTTCTGTACTTGCAGGAGAAGGTGCCATGGGGCGGTGTGTTTCTGCAGGTTTGGGCGAGGTGGGGCTAGATTGAGTGAGGGAGAAGCAAACCAGTGTCTCCCAGAGGGAATGGTCCTTGTGGAAGGCTGGAAAGGGAGGGGAGGCAAATATCTGTCTGGAGGTGGCAGAAATGGCGGCTAATGATCCTCTGGATGTGGGTGTTGGTGGGATGGTGGGTGAGGACAGGGGGGACCCTATGGCTGTTGTAGGAGGGAAGAGAGGAGGCGAGGGCTGAAGTACAGGAGATGGGTCAGACCTGGCTAAAGACCCTGTCATCTATGGTGCTGGGGAATCCTCAGTTGAGGAAGGTGGGCATTTTGGAGGCGTCCTTGTCTAAGTTGGCATCACTAGAACAGATGCGATGGAGACTGGGAGAATGGAATAGAGTCTTTACAGGAAGCAGAGTGTAAGGATGTATAATCAAGGTAACTGTCGGAGTTGGTGTGTTTGTGGTGGAAATTGGTGGCCAGTCTATCCCTGGAAAGGGGTTGAGGAAGGGAGGAGTCAGAGATGGACCAGGTAAAGGTGAGGACGAGGTGAAAATTGGAAGCAAAGTTGAGAAACTTTCTCAATTCTGGATGAGAGGAAAGCAGCACTGATCATCTTATCAATATATTGGAGAAAGAGTTGTGGGTGGGGGCCAGAATACAACTGGAGTAGGGAATGTTCCATGTGCCCCACAAAGATACGGGCATAACTGGGGCCCATGCAGGTATCCATGGCCACCCCTCTGACCCTGAACAGCCTTAAACTAATCGGAATAAAAATAACCAAAACAGAACAGATGATATTCACTACAATGATTGCTGGCACCCAACTGCAGATGATTGAATCCCAAATGGAGATATGTAATGTTAATGCAGCTCCCTCACACTATCACTCAACAACAAGCAGCAACAGAAATACAGTCCTGTCTTTGTTACCTCTAAACGCAACTATGCCAGTGCAATCCTGGCAGGTCTCCCACTCCACCCCCCCCCCCCCACCCCCCACCAAACCCCTGATGGCTTTCCCCCTTATTTTGGACCCCTGAATCAGTGCTCTGAATCTCATTAACCCTCTCCTGTTACTACTTTCTCCACAGCAGTGCCGCATAAAATTGGCCGCATCATTGAGGGGAGTCCGGCTGATCGCTGTGGGAAGCTGAAGGTGACTGACAGGATCTCGGCCGTGAACGGCCAGTCTATTGTCCAGATGCCCCACCACGACATTGTGCAGCTGATTAAGGACGCAGGTCAGACGGTCACCCTCACAGTCACTCCTGAAGAAGGTACTCATCCAGAAGTTGCAAGGCACATATACTTTAAGATGGTCTGTGGCCTTCAGTGTTCCTTGTGATTTGTGTGACACGCAGCCTCGAGAGCAGCAGTTTAAGTTGCAGGTCTCGGTTAATCTGTGAGTATCAGCCATCTCGGGCTGTGATTTAGAAGTCATTCACCAGTGAGATGACAGCACTAAGTACCTTCCTCGAAACCCACACTCCGTGTAATTGAAATGGGACAAATCAGTGAATAGGAAATGTCCAAATGCATGGGACTGAGTTCCTTTGGGTTTCGGACCTGGATTATTGATTTAACGATAACTAATTCTAGAAAGAATCACCTTTGTTACCTAATCTTTCATAACAAGGGGATGTAACCGTGACGTTTTAATTTGAGAACTGTAAAGAACTTAAAATGAATTTAATTGTAAATAAACATTGGAAAACATTTGGTAAGATTTTAGGGTTGGATTCCAAGGACTAAGTTACAGTTGCAGGTCTGATTGTAACTGGTTTCTGTGATTATCAAGATCATGCGATGGTACTTTGAACCTTGGACACAATAGTTGTTTGCTTGCTCTTTAGTCATGGTTGGCAGAAGCTGGGTGTGGCTTACAGCTCTGACAGTGCTTGTGCCAACGTTTCCCTTTTGAAGGGAGTCTTGCTGAGCCATTGTGACCTGCCTTGCTTTTCCCCACACAATGTAATCATTGCAGTTTGCAAAGCTAGTTTTTTATGATGCTCCTCAGGTTTTGAGGGATGTTGGTGTCTGGGGAGTAAACAACATTGTCTAGATGCCAATTCAGGGTTATCACAACCAGAAGCAAGAAAGGAAAAAGTTGTGTTCAGGTGATATGTTTCACATGTCAAGGTATTCTAAACTAGTTGATGGCCAATGATGCACTTTTAAAATACGGGAGAATTGTGGGCAACAGTGTCCTCCAGACAGAAGGCAATACACAACAGATGATAGTAGGAACTGCAGATGCTGGAGAATCCGAGACAACAAGGTGCAGGGCTGGATGAACACAGCAGGCCAAGCAGCATCATAGGAGCAGAGAGGCTGACGTTTCGGGCCTAGACCCTTCATCAGAAAAGGGGGAGGGGAAGGGGGTTTTGAAATAAATAGGGAGAGAGTGGGAGGCGGATAGAAGAGGGATAGAGGAGAGGATAGGTGGAGAGGAAACAAACAGGTCGAAGAGGCGGGGATGGAGCCAGTAAAGGTGAGTGTAGGTAGGGAGTTAGGAAGGGGATAGGTCAGTCCAGGGAGGACGGACAGGTCAAGGGGGCGGGATGAGGTTGGTCGGTAGGAGATGGAGGTGCGGCTTGAGGTGGGAGGAGGGGATAGGTGGGAGGAAGAACAGGTTAGGGAGGCAGGGACGAGTTGGACTGGTTTTGGGATGCGGTGGGGGGAGGGGAGATTTTGAAACTTGTGAAATCCACATTGATACCATTGGGCTGCAGGGTTCCCAAGCGGAATATGAGTTGCTGTTCCTGCAACCTT